TTGGGAGGCAGAGGCAGGAAACTCACTTGAGCCCAGGAGTTGGAGGTTGCTGTGAGCTGTAATGCCACAGCACTCTACCCAGGGGGACAGCTAGAGGCTCTGTCTCAAAAAAAAAAAAAATTAATTAAAAATAAATAATTTTATGGTTGGGAGTCACCACAACATGAGGAACTGTATTGAAGAGTGGCGGCATTAGGAAGGTTGAGAACAATGACACAGAGTCTGGTTCATAACAGCGTGATTCAGCAATAGCCAAAAGGTAGAAACAACCCAAATGGCCATCCACCCATGAATGGATAAACAAAACGAAGTAGATCCACACAATGGAACACTATTCAGTCATAAAAAGGAATGAGGACTGATTCATGCTACAACATGCGTGAAGCCTTGAAAACATGTATACTCCATTCTGGGATGCCACCAGTCAGCTTACTTCTCTTACCCCAGTGCAGGCATTTAACAGGCAATCAAGAGTGATCCCTGGGATGAATGACAGGCTCAGCCAGGCTGACAGAGCCAGCGTCGCGGCCCCCTGCTGTCTGGGCTGCACTGGGGGCAGGGGAGGGGTATCTCCTAGCAAGCCCGAATCTCACCAGCTACGGCCCTTTGCCAAACATGCCAAACATGACACCTGCAGTGTCACTGACTTCCACCTGCATAACGTGTGACCTGGGATGTCTGTCAAACTCCACCCAACTCTGTGGCTTAACACTGGTCTGGGCATCCTGACATCTGGGCATCTTGGCAAAGTCTTGCGCATTGGCCTTCTGGGAGACGAAGCATCACCAGTAGCCAGGCTAGGGAGAGACACCCAGCAGCAGAGGATCACATGGCCACACACCTCAGCCAAGTTCCTCTCCTCTGAAGTACACCGGCTCTGCTCAGGTTATTAGTGGTGCAGGGGAAACAAACAGCAGGTTTCCAATTACCCTGCAGCCCCTTCTCAAGTGGTACAGGGCTCAGAGACTGCTCGCCTGCAAGCAGTCACCATGGGGCAGAGGTGGGATTTACTGAGACAAGGCCTTGGGCCTGCATTTCAAAGGCCAGGGGGCCCTCTCCCCATAAAACCCTCACTGAGCCCAGTGGAGGGGAACAGAGCCACAGCCCAGCCCAGTGCCCTGCGGAGGGGTCACCAGGAATTCTGTGTTTCATCAAATATTGCTGGGCCATGGGGTTTTATTTGAAAATAATTTTAATTAGCCGGAAACTAGGAGTTTAATAAATGGAAAACAGAGAACTTTCCAAGGCCACAGCTGGGAAACACTCGCTTTTTAAAAAATTCCGCCTGGCTTCCCAGGCCAGCTAAGCACCCTGACACAAGGGCCTGATTGCCAAAGGAATCCACAAGGAAAACAAAGCTTATTTTTAGAGAAATATTTTAAACTTGGTTTCGGCGAGCTCAGGAGTTTTCTTGTCTGTCTTGAGTCCCTAATATCTTTCCTTCTATTTCAGATCTGCCTCTCACCCCAGAGGGCACAAGAACGCCTATCTGACAGGAGCTATTTCTGCCCAGATGAAAATAAAAGGGCCTCCTCCACTCCCCCCAGAGAATGAATTGTTTCTAAAAATGTCCCCGCAGACAGCAAGTGGCACATGAGGCCTGTCCTCAGCAGATGTGCCTGGCAATGGTGGGCCTGGGGTCCTCACTAGCGGGGGGGCTGTCAGTCACCCTCCCACCCAGCCCTGTCCTTCCCACCACCCTGCAGGAAGCGGATGCCAACCTGACCATCATTTCCGGGTTTTGAAAGCAGTTTTTAAACTTGAAAGAGGCATGCTGAAAAGTACTGCTTTTCCTCTGTAGGTGTTGGTAACCAACACCCACAATGACACACCCACACATACACCACAGAAGACACATCCAGACCCAAACACACAGCAACACCTACAGCTTCTTACACCCCAAGACCCACACACCTACCCACAGGCAGCAGCTGCACAAAGGCACAGCCCAAACCACACCATGTTCCCACTCACCTCCACATCCCAGCAGAAACATCCACACCTTGTCCCAGCACAGTGGAACAACCCTGGATTCCATACCCCAAAGACCTACATACCTGCCCACGAAGCAACACTCACACACTGATTCATACACAAATGTACATGCGTACACACATGCAGGTCACACAAACAGCAGCACAGGTCCTCATATCCTATAAATTCACTTACTTCACACACCTGTTGACATCCATATAAAGAAGCACACAGACCCATACACTGATATTCCCTACAACATCAGGACATATAGACATGAAGTTCTGGACACCTGCACACACAGCAACACCCACAAACATGCGCACACAGACAGGCCAGGACACATCCACACACAAATATCCCTCCCACAGAGGACACCCTACAGGTCTCCCCCCAGAGTCACACCCTTAGACACACTTTCAAGGTCTAGTAAAGACCTTCAATAGAGGCTGGAGAACCTGCCTAGCTAGGGCCTGGCCTGGAGGTGCAGTGGCTGCCCAGCCGCCCTCTCCCCCTCCCTCCCTGCTGCAGGGCTGGCCTGGGTAAGGCTGTCCAGCCACCAGGCCTTGCCTCCCCCCGCCCCAGCCCTCCCCCCTTCCTCCTTGGCCTTGCCAGCAGCACAGAATTGCAAGTGCCCTGGATGGCCACAGCTTTGCACATCTACCTGGAGTGTGAAGAAGAAAAAGTAAACACAATTAAATGAGGCAACAAGACAGAAGGTAAGTCTGACCAGCCTCAGCTTAGCAGCTGGTCACCCTCTAAGGGTGCTGCTCCCACTAACTTCCAAGGCTAAGGAAGGTGCAGAGACCCAACTTCCGCTTTCAGTGAGAGTCACATCTGCCCTCACTTGCCACCTCAAGCAAAACTGAAGAAGGGGTGCCAGGGCCCTTCCAAGGCCCAGTGCTCTCTAGCAAGCTCCCTTCCCAGCATGTATCCACCTGGGGAGGGGGTTTCTGAGTTTTCCTGCTTCAGGGCCCCTGGGCCTGGCTCCTGGTCCTGGTGCCTGAGCCACTCACTGCGGGGCTCACAATCCTCCAACTTTTCCCATGGGCTGGTGCAGACCTTTGGCCTTCTCAATGGTATTTTTTTCTTCTTTAGTTTTACACACCCAGCTGTAGATTCAGACAGTGTGAGGAGTAGAAAAGATGTACATACACATGTCCTTTCTCAGAAATAATTTAGAAGGTGGCACACACTAATTGGGCTGTTAAATGAATACTTTAGTCTTCAAACAACCAGTGGAAATGCCACTGAGACATTGTAAACACCATCACATTCTGGGCGCCCTTTCACAACTGACTAAGAAAGAACTTTATCTTGGGTGCAGCTCAGCTGACCCAGGTTTCTTCTTACTTGCAATTTTTACATCTGTTCCCTTAATTTACAAGATTTCCCTAAGGGTCATCAAGCATTAGTAGAGTTTTGTTTGCTGTTACTTCCAGCCACTGCAGAAAGACAATGACCTGGTAACCCTCCACTGATCAGGGTAAGGGGAAATTCTGAAGGCTCCCCTCTATCTTTCTACGCTCCAGTGAGCCTAAAGTATAAAACTTCAGATCCTAGCTGCTAGGCTTTCAAACAAACCAATTTTTTAAAATGAATGTGGTTTACCCCATATAAAAAAAAGTCTAACATTCCAGCTGCTCAAAAGTACTTGTTTAGAAAAATAAGTTTTGGAATGAAGTGGAAACAAACTCTTTGAAATGTAGCTTAGTCTAAATAGCTCCACATTTTAGACTTTTCCTCCCCATTTCACATTCTTTATGGTGTAGGGGCCCAGGAGCCTGCAGGGTCTTTACCCTGCCTGAGCCCTCCTTGGCCTCAGGCTTCCCTTCCCCCATGGCTGAGGCCTACAGTCAGGGGCCGCCTCCAGGAGAACTTTGAAACTGTTCCCCATCCCCTTTGGCAGCACTCACCAAGCACCAAAACGCTCCAGTTAACACCAGTGCAATCATCACTAACGTGAAACAGCTGCCTGAGGCCTGGCGTTTCCACCAGCCTGCCCCCCCACCCCCATGGGCTCAGCTGTGAGTCACTGGAGACCCTGGCTAATGCAGGGCCAGTGAGTGGGGATGCAAGGATTGATAGAGCCCAGCTGTTGTAGATGAGAGCAAACTACTGCTAAATCACTTACCTACTTTGGAAAAAGTGTGTGTGCTGGAGAAGAAAAAAAAAACATAAATTGGTTAATGAACCTGATTTTGTTTTTGAAGTGATGGTTTTCAAATTAGAAGAAAATGTTACCATAATAAGATTTTACTCTTTGGAAAACTCAGCAGGCAAATCAACGCAGTCTTTTCTTCCATTTTCTAGAAACCTGGGAAGAATTTGCTCTTAGGCCACCTATAGTCATCTAAAGCACAGACATTTATGCCTAAATGCATAAATAACTTGGTATGTGCTCCTTCCCAAAGGAAGTTGTCTGCATAAACAAACATCACTCAGATATAAGTCTAACCTGTTCGTTCCCCTTTCCTGCTCTCTGGAAGACACAACCAGGTTTCCCAAAGTCCAGGCAAAACCCCCAGTTCATCCACCCAGAAGCCGGGCCTAAGCCTCTACCTCCAGCTCAGCACTTAAGCCACACAGGCCACCGGCTGGCAGAAAGCTCCTCCCACTCCTTCCCCACCCAAGCAGTTGTTTCCTGGGCGTCCTAGAGAAAAATCGGACCTTCAGCTGCCACTGCAGCCACGTGATCCGCCCCTGGTGACTCACAGGCCGGCCACACCCCTTCAGGCCTCCCCGCCAGACCCTGCTACCAGCCAGGCAGCCAACTCGGAGATGCATCTTATTACCAAAAGGAACAGCTAATGCCCTTGACAGTCCAAATAATTGCTTTCTTTCAGCTAAAAGAGCTTGCTATAAAATACATACAGGCACAAATGGACGCACAGCCAGTTCTCCCAACCCTTCCCACCCTCTCAAGGACTGGGGAGGCCTGACAAGGCAGTGGGAAGCTAGACAAGCCATACGTGTCTGTTTAAAAAGCAAGCTATCTTGCACACACATGATTTTTTTTCCCAAAAATTTTATTGGGGGAAAACTACAAAACATTTACAGTACAATGTTTACAGTCACAATTTGTAGTGAACTGATTCCCCAAAATATATTACAACTCAAGTTGACTTATCTTATTACATTCAAAAAACCTACTCTGTCAAAGTAGTCCAGAGAGTACATACATAGTGCTCCAACTGTACCTACGTACAAACAAACTAAAGCTACTGGTCATTCATCCGCTGTCCAGGAAAGCTTGGGAAACGTTCCTGCCTTTCTACATGGGAAAAAAAAAATAGTACAAGTTTGGGAATTTTCTGTAATTAAACAAGGCATATTCATGTACTTACTACATACCATTTCAGCGCTAAGAGGTGGCCTCTTCACTTTATCTATATAAAAAAAGTGGTAAAAATCTTTTCCTTTTGTGCAGTTGAACCCATCCTACATTCAAATTCTCTCAAGCACTAATAAACAAAATACTTATTTGGTTGAGGAAGATTTAAGGCAAGTTCGGGCCCTTCCAAAGGCACTGTGAGACTAATCCCCCCCCATTATTGCTACATGTCTGTATACTCAAGAGTATGTCACAGTAGAACTGGTGGAATAAGCAAACATTTTTTGCTAGTTTATAAAGTTGGAATTAGAAAAGTATGCCACATTTAAGCCTGATTGTAAAGTATGTGGTCATTTTTTCCTTTAAAGTTGGATGGGCTACAACCATTATACATTCTAAGAAAACTCATAGGATGTTCCTCAAACTACTTCCACAGCATCAAGATAGATTTCTGTAAAGAAACCATGCAATCTTTCAAAATTTACGTAAACAAGGAAAGAAATTAATGAAATAAATATTACATACAATCTCTTAAATTAAGAATTTTTTACTCATTTACAATAAAATAACCAAGTGAAGTTACAAAAGGCATATATTACTGTGAAAAGAACATACACTCCACATTTTGCCGATTAATAATGGCAATCATAATTTAACATAATAAAAGAATATATATCTATTGCTTTTCATCATACTTGATAAATACAGTATGAACAATTTTCAATGTATACTTTTCACAAGATAATAAATAAGTTAAATAGTTTTCATATTGAGTTGTGGTGCAGTGGTGCGAATCAACTCAAAACAGCTAAAAATTCAGCAGTTATTCCCCAACAATTACAAACTAAGCTCTGCTCAAGGATTCCAGAGAGCAGACAAATGGTTTTAAACTAAACATCCACAAAGTGGTGGCAATGAAACCAGTAACCAGTATGAAACTTTGGAATGCAAGGGTTCCTCCCTCCCCCCAGACATATATAACTTTGTTAAAAAATAAAAAAAACAAACAAAAAACCAACCCTATGGGGCTGAGGACTACTATCAAGGCATATTCTTGGCAGAAATAATGGATTCTAAAAGCTTATAGGTTTAGCAAGGTGGTTGGCTGGTTTTAGCTGGTCAAACGACACTTAGGAACTTCTTTCAAGATACGAGTTCCCACATCTGGACTGTAACTAATGCTTTTCAAGTGAAGAGTTGGAATGGTGGTCGGTAGCTGCTGGTGCTGGGTTGATTTTTTCCTGAAGTCCCAAACTCATCTGAGACCTAAAAAAGTTTTAAGTGTTTGGTATTTTGTTCTATTCGCATCACAACTGCCCTGTTGTGAATATTTTGTTCATCAACACAAAAAGTTCGTTGGCTTTCTTTTTTGCTCGACAAGAATGAAACTTCGTAGTAATAAAAATTAAAAAAAAAAACAAAACAAGAGGAAACCGAAAAAGGAGGGGTGGGGGCCCCTCTCAGCACAGAGTCCAAGTGCTTGGGTCTTCAGTTTGCCAAGGGCCTAAGTTATCCCCCACCCCCGTGCTCCCCAGCAGGGGCGAGATGGCAAAGGGCGTCCTCCAGCACCCCTCCAGCACCCCGAACGGCCTTCCCTTCCTTCCTCCTCACTGGCGCCCTCTTGCCTCAGTCGTCGGAGATGGAGAGGCGGCTGAAGATGGGCAGGCGGCGGCCGGGGTCCAGGCTTGGGGACTCGGAGCCGCTGAGGCTGCCCGAGCTCAGGGAGCCGCTCAGGTAACTGTCGCGGTCCGACAGAGAGTCCGGGGGGCTGGGAGGCGCGTCGAACACGGGCGACTCGGACAGGCGGCGAGGCAGCTGGAAGCTGAAGGGCGGTGAGGGCGGCGCGGCGGCACCAGCGGGGAGGGGCGCGCTGGGCGGCGCCGGGGGCTGCGCTGGGGGCGCCAGGCCCTGCTGCTGCTGCTGGGTGCGGTAGTAGGCGGCGGCGGCCACGGCGGCGAAGTTGTGGGTCTGGATTGCGAGCGGTGTGATGAGGCTGCTCAGCTCCGGGCCGAAGGCGAAGGCGTTGTTAGCGCACGAGGCCGACGCACAAGCCGCGCAAGGGGCGCCGGGTGCCAGCAGGTCCTCGGCTCCACCTGTGCCATAGAGCAGAGCGGCCGCTGCGGCTGCCGCCGCGGCGGAGGCGCAGCACGTCGGGGCTCCCGAGGGCGTGGAGGCGGCAGAGGCCGAGGAGCAGGAGGAGGCTGAGGAGGAACAGGAGGAGGCCGAGGAGCAAGAGGGCGGTGGCGGCGTGCGCGACGTGGGGCTGTCAAGCAACAGTGGCGACTCCAGGCCCCCCGGGGGCTGGTTGTGGCCGGAGGGGAAGCCCGAAAAGCTGAGGCTGTGGTGCAGCTTGGGCCGGGGCTCCCGCGGGAAGCCCAGGTGCAGCGCGTCGCGCGTGCTGAAAGTGCGCAGGTCCCCAGAGGCGCCCCCCGACGGCGCGGGCCGCCGTTCATCCGCATTGTGGATGAAGTGGCAGCGCGGTCCGTAGGGGCAGAAGCCGATAGTGTGGAAGGTGCGGCACAACTCTGTCTTGTACTTCGGATGGCGCGTCAGGCTGCGCAGCTCGTGGAAGCCGTGCGCGAACTGGCATTTCTCGCCATACTTGCACGTGCCGCTTTCCTCGAAGGGCCGGCACAGCTCGGTCTTGTAGCGCGTGGAGTTGATCTGGGAGCCGCCGCCCCCCTTCTGCTGCTGCTGCTGCTGCAGGTGCAGAAGGTGCTGGCTGCGCTCGCCATTCTCGCTGAACGAGCGGTCCCGGAATTTGTTCTCCTTGTTGAGTAGGGCTGTGCCGCCGCCCCCCGACGGCTCCTTGAGGGTGCCGTAAGTGGCTGGGCCGCCAGTCGCCACACTGCCACAGCTGTTGCCGTTAGCGGCGCCGGGGAACTTGGGCGAGCAGCTGCCAGGGTTGGGCGCGGGGTGGGCGAGCGCGTGCAGGTTGCTGGCTGAGTGCCGTCTGAGGAAGCCCGGCGCAAAGCCCGAGTTGGGGGCGGCGGCCACGGGCGTCCCCACCGCCTTCTTGTCCAGCATGTTGTTCAGATTGAGGTTGGCCAGGGATTTCTCCGTCTGCCAAAGGGAGGGGAGCGGGGAAAGGATGAAAAACGGAAGGGGAGGGAAGTGTTGGTGCAAGCTGCAGAGAACTCCCAGCCTGGTTCTTCTTTCCTCCCCTTTTGGCGGATTTCGAATCGGCTTCCACCCTCCGCCCATACACGCTCAAAACCCCACCAAGTTCGCGTTGTAAGTTGCCGGGATGGTGGTGAACACCAACCCTGGGCAGCGCTGGGTTTCGACATGTGATCTGCCCGTGGGCCGCCCGGGTGGGCGGTACAAACACCGTCCTGGAAGCCCCCGGCAGCGTGACCGTGGTCTGCTGCGGAAAAACTAAGCAGCTACAGCAGTTCCCTTTCTGCCCTTCCTCCCTGCCTGGTCCTTCTCCCCGCCTACAAGGCGCTAGCACACACTACTGCAAACTCCGGAAATTTTCCCGGCCCGAAAGTCAAGGTATGGCGAGGTCCCCCAAATCCAAGTGTAGAGGCAATGTCTGAGAACTCGAATAGCTTCTACTTGCCCGCCTTCGTCCCTTCCTGCTCCCCAGCGTACCTTGCACAAGAAGTCGATATCGTAGAAGGCGGACAGAAGTGTGGTCGACATGTTTCTGGATCCCGAAATGGTCGGAGCCGCAGGCAGGGAAGTCGGGAGGAGCCCTCGGGGCGGCGCGGCCGGGCTTGAGCCACGACGAATAACGGGGCGAGGGGCGGGGAGGGACCGAAAGTTTGCTGGGGGGGCGAGAAAGGAGGGAGAGGGAAGCGGCTTGGACTGGCTAAAGGGTGCCCTGGAGTGCGGAGTGGGGGGAGAGGAAAGAAGCAAAGAGCGCTGCTCCGCGCCCCGCGGTGCCCGGCCCGGCCCGCCCCCCCCGCGCGGAGCCGACGGCAGCTCGCGGACTGCTGGAACTCGGCGGCCCACGAGCGCGCGCCCTATATAGAGCCTCGTGAGCGCGGCAGCCGCGGGGCGGGCGCGCCGGGGGAGGGGACAGAACGCTGACCCGGCCGGGGTCTCCAGGCAACGCCGCCCGCCGGCTCGTGGACGTCAGTCGCTTTCCTGGCTTCCCATTGGCCGCCGCCAATTTTTTTTTCTCTGGGGGTGGGGGCGGGAGCCCTAGGGCGGGGCAGGCTGCCTGGGCGCCCTGGGCAGCGTGGATAGCTCAGCCCAGAAGGGTGCTGCTGAGTGGCGGCGGGAACCCTATATGTCTGTTCCTCTGGGACTGTAGCGTTGGAAAGTCCCAGCACGTTCAGCGTGCCCGAGATTCTGCAGCTCTGGACGTGTTTTTCCCCGCCCGATCCTCCTAGGCGGACTTGTGGAGCTTTTATCTCCCATCCTAGATTTTGTACTGGGCGCGGGAATTGCAAAATGCAAGAATATTGCAACCATCCGCGTGGCTCGGCTGGTTTGCAGAGGGTGCTCCGGCCAGGAGGTGGGCTCGGGGCCTGAGTCCCATAGGTGGCCGCGCTAGTCCGACTGCACGTGGAGACACGGTGGGGGTGGGGGCGGGAGCGGCCACGCGGACGGCTGCTGTATTAGTCTTGCCTGGAGGAACCCGGGCCGGTTTCTCCGCCCCCTCCCCGCCCAGGCTCAGTAAACAGGGCTTCAGCGCCGGGGCCTGCCGGGCAGGGCTGAGTGTCTGAGGACAAGGCGCTGGCTTTGCTAATCACATCACAAGACCTTGAGCCAGGGCCAAAGGCGCGGAGTGGCGCGGGGCGTCCCGGGCGGGGGAGCCAACTCCGAGGAGGGAAGGAAGGGCCGGGAGAGCCATGCAAGCATGGAGGCGACTACCCGCCACCCTTTCCGTCTGTTGGTCAGCCCGGCCTTCCCCAGCGCTCCCAGGGGTTGGGGTGCAGTTACAGGCCCAGGCTCCCTGCCCAGCACAGCTTTGGCTTGCCGTGCCCTCCAAGCTTTTACCTCTCTGGCCCTGCCTTAGCTAGGTGAGGGCTGCAAGATCCGTCTGAAGCAGACCTGCAGCCCAGGTGGGACACCGTGGATGTTAAGTGGGGAGTGAGTCCCTCTCTCGCCAGCCCCACACCCCAATAACTTGCCGGAAGAAATGCGCTTTGCCAACAGGAGCCCCGCCCCCGTCCGGGTACAGGGCAGACACCCCCACCTAGCGCTCAGTGAGGCTAAAGCCACTGACGGCCCCACTCTGGCGGCTGCAGAGCCTGGACCCGGACCCTTTGCGTATATACCGGCTGCCAAAAAGGTGCAGCCCGGCCCATGATTTCACCCACCTGGCAGCCTAGGCCGCAACTGGGCCCAAGCTGTAAGGCCTAGGACCCGCCAGGGAAAGAAACTAAGTGACCCCTTCCCCAGTCGATCTTCTTTCTTGCCGTGTCTCCTTGCACACCCTGGCGTTTGGTGTTCACTCTGTCGGGTAACCTGTAACCTGGACCGGCATGAGGTAGGCCTGTTCCTCAAGGGGGCTGACTCCAAGGAATCTCTCTGAGACTGCTGTACTCTCTTACTGCCCAGGGAGCCAGAGTCCAGGGTAGGACTGAGAGGACTTTAGGATTAGGAATGTTGGCCTGGAGTTCAGGCCCTGCCCCTTGCAAGTCATGTGGTCTTAGGCAAATCACATAATCTCTCTGGTACTTGAGTTTCCTTACTTGTAAAAGGAAGACAGAATTCTTGCTTTACTCATCTCTCACCCTTGTCAAGGTGCAAATGAGACAATCTGTGAAGATGTAAAAGAAAAGTACAGCAAACTGTCTTACTTATTAAAACAAATTGACCAAACATAACAATGGGGAAAGCCAGACTCTTGGGCTATGGCCAGAGGACAGAGGGCCACAGAATCATGAGTGCACCATAATCTTGGAACCAAGGGTAGCTGGTGAGCTCAGAAAGAGGTGACTGCTTCACTGTTACCACTCACCCTGTGCTGGCCTTATCCTAGGCTGGGCTACTGTGACAACATTCTGGTTTGTTCTTCATTTAAATAACCCTAAAGCCAAGAGTTTGAGGGTGGCCTTGTGAGTAGGGTATTGTTTCCCCTGGGAATGCATCAGGAAAGTGTGAAACAGCCGATTTCAGATACAAAACCATCCACTTTGCAGATTAGGTAGGATTCTGGAGACAGGATGTAAACGTTGTTATGAGACATACTTTGGTACAGAGTACCTGCTAGTGTAAAATATTTTTATTATTATGTAACTACTTTCAACAAAAGGAACACTGGCTTTTTCTAATGAGCTGGGCTTTGTTGGGCTAGTTTCTAATTGTTCTGTGGTTATCACCATATTATGCTACCAAGTCTCTGACTTTTCTCCAGATAGGTCTTAGAACAAAAAAGAAGTGTTAGGTTGGCAACTTTCCATCAGGTGTGGGCTACACAGATGCCTAACTAGGTAATTAATTCAGGATCACAAAAACCACATTTGGGACTGAATGGTTGCAAAGCCACCCAGGGAATTCCTGTTCTCTTTAGGACAAAACTGGGGACACTGAGTTAGTTTCTTTCTTGCTTCTTCTTACAGTCTTTGCCCTGTACTTCCAGTACGGCTGCCTTTTGTTTTTCTATTATAGAGACAGTCTTGCTGTGGTGTCCAGCTTGGAGTGCAGTGGCTATTCACAGGCACAGTTATGCCTCAGTACAGCCTAAAACTCTCGGGCTCAAGTGATCCTCCCACCTCAGCCTCCTGAGTAGCTGGGACAGTGGGGTGTTCACCATTGACCCCAGCTTATCAGAATATTTTTAGTGTTAGGTGTTTTTTTTGTCAAATAGAGACAAATACCAGTTCTTCTGCAATAGGAAATGACCACACCAAACTCCTCTAACCTCCTCCTCCACACCCTCAAACATCAATGAAATAATTCTAAGTGACTGCTTACCTAAGAAGTATTGAAAAATTTATACAGACCCTAAGAGCTGGAACAAGCTTATATAATATAACTGAAATGGCCTTTTCAGATAACTAGGATGAAAAATGAGCATGGATGAGGCTATAACCCATCCAAGCTATGACTCTCAAGATAACTATCTGTGGGTAGCACTTATTCTGAAATTAAACCATTAAAAAAAGGACCAGCAGCAAAATGTATGCAAGAGCGCCACCTTCTGGGTGTCTGAGGAAGTGGGCTGGACTTGGCTTGAACATGGAGAAAACTCTTGTTTATAGATTAAATCACTGAAATGGATAAATGTGTTTACTGGCATCTTAAATGAGAATTTTCTTGTTACTGCCACCAGTAAATGATAGTAAACAGTGTAGGCATCAAAGAAATCATTTATTCTGGCTTTCATTTCCCCAGATTCCTTCTAATAGCCCAAGAGTACTCTTACGCTTTTGCTGTGTTTCCAGGAGCTAGCACAAACACTTTTTGGAGGGATAAAGGGTGCTCTCTATGGCTCCTTTAATAATTAGGATGGAATGTGAAGGTTACTGCCGGACTTACACATACCTTAAAAACTAAATTATTTGTATAAGGTTAGTACTTTTATTCTCCCAGGATCCAACATTTAGAACATTATTTCTGCTATACTAGAATGGGATAAAATTTAGAAATATTTCCAAATGGGCTGTCTCTCCATTAATCTAGTCCCTACGTATGGCCAAAAAGAGGGGAAGGAATCGTGTGCTAAAACCTAATTCTGTGTAGTCCCTTCACACAGAATGCAGGGTGGCTATGGTGGGATGTTAAGAGACCCTGGGGGGGGGAGGAGGCTAATTTAGGCCTGCAGGTGGCCCACACCTGGGTACAGAGTAAATATCCAGCAGAGTCACCTCAATTCCTACTGTAGTGGTAATAAACTAGGCTGCCTTGAATGTGTGAACTGAAGAAAAGTTCCTCTGTAAGACATGTCAGAAGGCCAGACTTGCACAGGTGGGGGAGGCACGAAAGGGACAACACTGGGTGTGAATTTATGTTCAAGGTATGTCTCCTATAGATTTAGTGGATGAATAATCCACACATACCCTCAACCCCCCCAAATTTTCCTTCTTCAACATGCCATTTCTGTTCTTGGAAGAGTTAATGGCCTTGCTTCTGCAGGAGAGTCCAAAGCACCAAAAACCAGGGCGTCTTCCCCTTCCTTTCCTTCTAGAAAGGCCAGCAGCCTCAAGCAAGCCAAAGTCCTTTCCTTCTGAATGCGCAGTTTTGTGAACTCCACTGTCTTCAAAAACTCAGCAGCTGGTGGAAGTTCTCTGAAGAGCTGAGAAAGGAGGTGGCTCTGCTCTGACACTGTTCTTTGAAGGTGAAAGAGCCTCTCAGGGCTAGGAGGACGACAACCAGACTTGGAGAGGAGCTGGAGGAGGTGTTTGCGGAGGTAATTCACAAACATTAGGGTTTCAGCCCAGAAGTTGACTTCTTCTTTTTCAAACAGGTATTCTCCTTCCACCTACATCAAATGAAAAAGCCAAAAGTCAGCCTTACAGGGAATGTTGACAGGCCCCAGTCCAGACCAAGCAGAGCCCTGCCAGATGCAAGAGATGTGTCCCCTCCCCCACCTGACAGAGGGCCCACTCTTGCCTGTCAACACCCATACACACACACCACTTGCAGCCTTGAAGGTCACCTTCTGTCCTCACTCATTGTACTTCTCTACCAGAGAGGAATTTTTTTCCCCAGACTTAACATGACTTTTGATAAAGATGTGGTTGTGGTTCAAAGCCAAGGTATTTTGGGAGAGTGATGTTGAAAAGGGGGCCTAAACAAGGGAGTGGGCCCTAAGGTGCATCTATCAATGGAAATCAGAGAGGGAGGGAGGAAGGGCAACCTTAGCAACAGACCAAAGAATTACCAAATACAAGACATTAATCTCTGAGCACGAAACCAAATTTCTATAATTGTGTGGATTTTCAAGGTCATTTTATCACAGACACTTTATCATGTCTCCAGATTTCCCATAAACAGGCTGCTTTTTGAACTCTTGGCCTGCTGGGATGCCAAGCGAGCTGAGTCAGACACTGGTGGCTATGAATTTCAGTTTTCAGAATGCTTTTGCGGCTTCTCTTGGTCCTCGGTTTTGCTGTCTGTGATTACTCCAATCCTGGAGAGGGCTAATAGTTTTCTTTAGGCAACAATTTCCCTGGAAACACCCTTATTCTCTGGAAATGCTTTATCCTCAAACCTAACTTTGGGGAGCCCCAGGCTAAGTCTCATGTCAACTAAAGCATTCTCCGTAATTATATTCTCAACACCCAAGGGGCTTATTTCAAAGTTTTCTCCCCCAACTGATCTGAAGGCTTACTACGAAAACCCCCAAAATCAGCATGAAAGCATCCCCAGTGCCCAAAGCAGCAGCCAGCAGGTGACTTTCCTAATCAATTTCTGTTCTGCGTCTGGGCATCCACAAGCTCACATTCGGCAGACACACTGAGCCTAATTAGGCCTGAAGTGCTGCATCCAGTGGTAAACTTTAGGGCACCCCGAGCCTTCCTCCCACCGCCCCAACAGTCTGGGATTACCTGCTGCAGGCTCTCCACACAGATCACAAGATCATCATTATCTCCCAACAGCCATCCCAGAAGGATGGGCAGTCCAGGGGCCAGCTGGTCCCACTGCTGAAGCAGGTCACACAGGACGGCCAGGGCCAGAGCCAGAGCAATGGAGGCATCTACCTGGCAGAAGGCGAATTCTGTAGAGAAGGGAGAGAGGCTTGTAGTCAATGTCCTTCCTGTCTAGGGCTGAGGACTCTGAGGGCCACAGGTAGAATCACTGCTAGTGGCTTGGCAGAGAAGCTGGTGGATGGGCTCACTGAAGGCCTTTTTTTTTTTTTTTTTACGACAAAGCCTCACTCTATTGCTCTGGCTAGGGTGTAGTGGCAGCATCATAGCTCACAGCAACCTTAAACTCCTAGGCTCAAGTGATCCTTCTGTCTCAGCCTCCCAAGTAGCTGGGACCACAGGCACAAGCTACCATGCCAGCTAATTTTTCTTATTTTTTAGAAAATTGCTATTGCTCAGGGTGTTGGTGAAGGCTATTAATCTCCTTTTGAATCCTGCTGTCCACATAGCTAGAATGAGTCCTTTACCTGAACCCCAGTATGGATAGAAGCAGCCCCACCTGCAGGACTAGACAGCTCTCTCCCCTCAGCTCCTCCAGTGTAACTGGACTTTCAGAAGAGCCTCCTGCCCAGTGTCTCTTCTGCTGGCCTGCACTGTTTTGCCCCTGCTGCAGAAAGCAGGTCTTTGGGCACAAGCCATGTTAAATCTCTAACACCTTACAGAAGGGCACCAGTGCACTTTTCCTTAAGGGGCCAGAGAGAAACTTATTTTAGACTTTTCAGGCCGTAAGTTAAGTTGTCTGTTACAACTCCTCATCTCTGCTGAGAGCAGCCATAGATGATCTGTAAGCGGAAGGTTGTGGCTGTGTTCCAATAAAACTTTATTTATGGACACTGAAGTGTGAACTTCATGTGTATGCTTGTGATTTGTTTCAACCATTTAAAAATGTAAAAACCAGCTACAGCTCATGGACGACACAAAAGCAGGCTGCATTTGGCTCCTGTCTTGCTGCCCTCTATCTTGGAGTGCATCTTCTTTTAGCCCTTTGTCCTCCTGGCTGACTGAGTGAAGCAGTGTGCTGAAGGAGAAAGTGGGGTGTCTGGGGGAAACCAATGCTTACCTCACCATTTGGCCTCAGTCAGTCCTAAATATGGGTTTGTAGGTAGGCTCAGGGTGTTGACACTTCTGCCAGCAACCCTGCCCTTCCCACCCTAACCTGAAGGAGGTCTTAAACATAGGAATGAAATCCCACCACAGACAGTGAGCCTCCATTGATCCATCTTGCTCCAACACCTGTCTGTCTTTCTTTTTTTTTATTCTGAGATACAGTCTCACTTTGTCACCCTCATTACAGTGCCTCAAACTCTTGGTCTCAAGCAATTTTCTTGCCTCAGCCTCCCAAGTAGCTAGGACTACAAGTGCCCGCCACAACGCTTGGCTATTTTTAGAGACGAGGTTTCGCTCTGGTTCAGGCTGGTCTGGAACCCGTGAGCTCCGGCAATCCAGTCGCCTCGGCCTCTCAGAGTTCTGGGATTATAGGCATGAGCTACTGTGCCCGGCCCCAACAACTGTTTTCAATGAGATTAAGCTTGAATCTCTCCCAAAGCCACATCTCCAACTTTAGCACACAGATCTGTCCCTGACCATTTGGCCCCCTCAAAAGACTTGCTTAATATACAGGGAGAAGGCTGAGAGTCTGGAATAGAAGTCTTAATTCCTTAGGGTGTTGAACCAGGTTGGCCAGTTCAACTGGGATGGCCACACTGAGGGCCTATTATGTGCCCTTTATCTCTGACACTTCCAGTAGTCTGTGGGTTAGGCATCACCATTCCTGCTTCCCAGATTCTGAATCTAGGGCTCAGATAGGCTAACCCACTTGTATACAGTCACAGAACTCTTAAGTGGCTATAAAAAAATCAGAATCAGCAACAAGTGTCATGGTACACACAAAGCATAGATTTGGAGAATTAGCATCAATATTCCAGAGACACAAATTTTTATGGTGTGATCAGCAGGGTTAGTGAGCCTCCAGCAGGGCCAGGTCTACTGACGGGGCCATGGAGCAAAGCCTAGATTCCTGCGAGCAGTCAAAAGGACTGATCTCACCATCTTCAGAGCCCTAGTAAGACCCCGAGGACTGCTGCCTTTTAGTGCATTGTTTCTCATGTTGGTCGCTCTGTAGCCTGGAACCCAGATTCAAACTGGAAAAACAGAAAAAGAGGAGGGGGCTGTGGATAGGGGGTAAAGGTGCGTTTTGGCTCTAAGTCTGAGCCAGGTGTTAGCTGGGCCTTTGCCTACAATACAAGTTCTAATGTTTACCTCTGCCTGACTCTTCTGTAAACTTCTCCACTGGTTGAGAATCTGCATGGAGAAGGGGTGCAATTAAGAGATCTTTTTCAAATCCTCAAAGAAATGAAAATATGTGTAAGGACCAGCACTGGATTCAACACAGAATAGATCTTCAAAGTATACTGGTTTATGGCTCTGGAATCTTTCCCTTTATTCTGTGATTTAATTCGAGCACTAACATAGGGAGTGGCAGAAAGAAAGCATTCAATGAACTGTTGATAATATGAACACTTTACTCCTATTGTCTCCATAACTACTGTCATCACCCTATAAGAGAGGTGGTCCCGGCTCGGTGCCTATAGCTCAACCGGCTAAGGCGCCAGCCACGTACACCTAAGGTGGCGGGTTTGAATCCCCAGCCCGGGCCCACCAAACAACAATGACGGCTGCAACCAAAAAATAGCCGGGCGTTGTGGCGGGGGCCTGTGGTCCCAGCTACTTGGGAGGCGGAGGCAGGAGACTTGCTTGAACCCAGGAGTTGGAGGTTGCTGTGAGCTGTAATGCCACAGCCCTCTATCCAGGGGGACAGCTTGAGGCTCTGTCTCAATTAAAAAAAAAAAAAAAAAAGAGAGAGAGGTGGTCCCTACTTAGCCCAGAAGAAAACTGTGTTCATAAACGTTCCAAGACTGCACAGTTCAGTGGTGGTACTGGGCTGAGTCTATGTCAGTGCACAGACTGCTCTCTACCCTGCAGAAAGGAAGTGGAGAAAGTGTCCTGACACTCTACAGAGGTGAAGAAGTCAGACTTTTAGTGCCTGTAACTCAGGTGACATTTCTGTTAGGTCCATACCAAGCCATGGGGTGATCAGAGATGCCACCAGAAAGGCCAGGGTATTGCACCAGCCCCACCAGACAGGACAAGGAGCCTCGGCCCTGCACCATTTTGCCCTGGATAATAGTTAGGAAGGGGCAGCAGAGTGATGGGACAACAGAGGCACAAGAGGAGAGCTTATGTGGTTTGGCCAGAAGTGGATCTAGATAGAATTATAAGTACCCTGACCCAGTAAGATGAAGAGGGAAGTGGAAATCTGGGATGCTGGGTGGGGAGAGAGGGAGGGACTATTTAGCTCTCCTGTCTGTGGTGCTAGACGCAACCCACCAAGTTTGCTCTTTTACTACCCTGCCTCAAAACTTAGCCAGAATTGCCTCAGTCTCTACTGGCCAGATGCCTTATATCAGGGAAGCTGAAGAGTAGGGAGAGGAATTTTCCTCTTAAACATGCAGGCCAGCCAGGCTCTCAAAGGCTGGCCAGTCCATCAAGGAAACAAGAAAGCAAGAGACCAAGCAACAAGTGTGCTTAAGGATCTGCTGTCTACACAGAATGGTTAGCACAATCTTAAAAAAGAAAACAAATTTGAAACTAGCAAATTTCAAGACAGTGTGGGGCTGGTGTAAGAACAGACATACAGGTCAACAGAATAGAAAGGACAGACATATACAGCAACTGAGAGTCCAGAGTCAAGCCCACATGCTTATGGTCAAATGACTTTGACAAGAGAGTCAAAACTAATTGAGGGAAAAATAGTCTTTTCAACCAGTAATCCTGGGATGACAACTGCATACATACTTGCAAACAATGAAGTTAGACCCCTTGCCTAGCACTGGATACAATTAACTCAAAATGTATCGAAGACCTAAATGTAAGAGAAGAAACCATAAAAGTTACAGAAGAAAGCACAGGAGTGAATCTGTGTGACTTGGGATTAGGCAATGATTTCTTAGCCATGATGTCAAAAGTGCAATCACAAAAGAAAGGTTGGACTTAGTCAAAATTGAAAGTTTTGTACTTTAAAGTAACACCAAGAAAGTGAAAGGACAAATCACAGAAGGAAAGAAAATATTTGTAAGTCCTATATCTGATGAAGGACTTGTATGTGGTCTACATAAAAAACTCTTAAAGCTCAATAAGCACATGAAAAGTGCTTACCATCATTAACCGTTAGGAAATTGCAAATCAAAAGCCCTAATAATATGCTACTTCATACTCACTAGGATAACAATAATAAAAATAGTAAGTTTTGGCAAAGGTGTGGAGAAATCGGAACCCTCATACTGCTGGTGGGAATGGTGCTGCCATTTCAGAAAACCTATGACCCAACAATTTCACTCCTAGGAATATACCTACGAGAGATAAAAACATGCCCACACAAAAACTTGCCCTTGGAAGTTCACAGCAGGCTTGTTCATAACAGATAAAAAGTGAAAACAACCAAAATGTCCATCAACTGATAAGCGGAATAATAAGCCACAAAAAGGAAAAGGAATGAAGACGCTGGGGTTTAGGTGGGAAGGTGAGACTAACACCCAGCAGCTGTGAGGACGTCAGGTGTGCAACAAAATGGTCCAGAGGCAAAGAGCTGCAGGAGGGGGTGAAGAGGGCAGTGTGGAATAAATCATCCCTTAGACGACTCCTCCCACCAGTCGCACAGCCCAGGCAAGATAAAATATACCCTAGCACCCTCCTGGAGGGCTTCAAAGGAGTGAGGTCTGCTGGTAGACACTCATGTCTGTGGTAGGCCTACACAGGGGGATTAACGTTCAATTGGTTGGAATCATGTTAGAAATGTGACAAATCACTATTAGAATCGAGTAATCTGGGGCCTTCCATCCTTGTGAATGGATAACCCATTTGGATGGTAGAGGCAGAAGCAAACCAGAGGCATCCGGGCTGCCCAGTGTAGCCTTCCTCTTGCTACTGCCCCAGTCACACTAGGGCTCTCCTGCCAGGCAGATGCCTCAACTCCAGAAACTCTCCAACTCTGTGAAGAGGCCCTCCGCAGCAG